GTATAGCATGGTGACCCTTTTGGGAACTAAGATGAGCATAATCTCTCATCTATTTCAAATTACACATGAAAAGTACATKAGCAACAAACAGATTTGCATAGAGAAATTTCACAATAAAAAAAAAATGCAGAAATACTGAAATACCATTACAGCAAAGGAAATAATTCAACCAGGCAATGATTTACCATCCTCACATTTTCAGAATCACTGTTCAAACTGAATGCCTTTAGCTAGAATCCACTGCAGCATGAGAGACACAAAAACAAACTCTTTCATATCTCTAMGCTACCTTGAGAGATCCTGATACCTAATCTGGAAGCAGACAGAACTCAAAAAGGTGCCTCTTTTCCAGTGAAGACGTGACTTCCCCTCCAAGGGCCTGGGGCACTGTGCCTCAAATGCTAATAGCTTGAGTTGTGTGCAATAGCCCTATATTGTTTATATAGCACTTCACATGTTCAAAGCACTATGAGATATCAGCCATCACTACACTTTTATGAGGCTGTAAGTATTACCCACTAAACATCAGGGTTCAAATGACTTGCCCTTGATCAAAAGAAACTTTGTGCAGCAGGACCATAATTATTTGAATTTGGTAATTCTCGCAGACCATTCCTATGGCAACACAGAACGAAGAGGGGGATGGGATATTAAACCCAGTTGCTATTACACTCTGCTCTGGCAGCAAGATACAGACACATGGAGGATCTCTTAAGCAAAGCTACACTCAGCACATCTTGTAGAAACTTCTAGAAAGCTATTTAAAAAATCAGGAGCAAAAATTAAGCAAAAGCTTTTGAAAGCCCATGTAAGCATGTTTTTCTAAATGTCACTATTTCACATAGTCACTGCGAAGAACGTAAAAGACAACATTCAAATCATACTGAAGTATTCCAGAAATCCTAAAATGGGGTTCAGAATTCATTCTGAAGCAGTTTGGGAGTTTTTAAACCAAAGCAATCAGTCCATGTTCTGCAGGAAAAGGGYTATAGCAGCCTATTGACCTATAGCTGACTACAGTAGGACTCAACTTTTACAAATATAGAACATTTTTGCTCCACATTTTTATACATACCTTCTTCCTATGAAATTTCAATTATGATGACATTTACATCTCTAGCCTCAAAGTTATCAACTCCCTGTTCCCATAAAAAAGAACTCAAACACAAAGGATATGTTGAAAAAAACCCAGTATATCCACAGTACATGACAACCAAATAAAGGCTTGACATAAATGCTAAACAAAACATCCTGAAGATTCATCTCTTTACAGGTGAAATCACTTTATCCAAAAATCTTAACATTGAGCTTAAGAAAACTCATGCAGTGCCGATCCTATCTGACAACATYGTCTCTTTCCCACCTCTCTCATTTTAACTTGTACACAGCCTTGGKTTTTGCACACACCATATGTTTTCAGAGCACAGCTTCACAGTTAGTGGCCTTAGAACCTTGCTGCAGAATCACATGGGAAACAGATCGTGCCACTAAGACAAAAATGCCGATCACTACACTCARTCCAGATTCATCAAATAAGTAAAGGATGCCTGTTTAAAGCTACCAGAGGAAGGGGGAGGGAAAGAAATTCTCTTCAAAGGCAGCAATGAGTGCAGAGAATTACTAACAGAGCCTTTTATGTTTTAGCCAGGTTGATCTCATTGCTATTAATATTTACCCTCTCTCTTACTACTTTCACTAGGCATTTTTCAGGTACAGGCCATACAGATCTAACTCTATGCCAGGCTGTGCTTGCAATTTCTACTGTTTTGACTACCATTGCCTCAAAAGCTAAATTACAAAAATATTTGCTAAAATATTGAAGTACAGCATCCATAGGTGAACATTACTTCATGGGTATTAATGTAAGAACCAGTTACCATACTCCATCTACTGATCTAAAGAACAGATGTTTGCGTATGATTTATGGACACTGAAATATGTGCATATCTTCCATAAATAGTAATGTGTTCCAGTAACAGAGTGGAGAATTGTAATCCAAAAGACTAGGAGAATGCAGGCAATATTAGAATTTATTTACCAATTACTTGGCTTTAAATGAAAAGAAAAGCTTATAGAGCCAGGGCCTGAATCCTGTATGTTGGAAAAGCTCTTAGAATTTCAAATAAGGCTAACAACATGAAGTAATAAATTGCAGTCAGGCACAATAGGTAAGATATAAGGGTATGTTTAGAACATAAGTGCAATTATGATTTATTAAATAAGAGTAACAATTTGTATTGATTGAGATACAATAAATCGAAGGCAGTAAGCAAAAAGCCAATATTACCGTGGGTATTTTCACATTAAATTTGGACTTGGAAATTTCTTTAACATCAAGATTTAACAAAATACTAATCAGGTAAAATTCTAATGGTCAAAGCACAGTTTTAAGCTCTGCAATTAAATTATTTCTGGAAGTGCAATCAAATATTTGATTGAACTAATATCATTGCTGCTCCTCACATTTGTCTGTTCCTAAATTAGCTTGGCTAATCAGTATACCACCTCATAGTCTGTTATAAACATATAATACTAGCTAATAGCTTTCATTTCAAGAGCAAAGTCAAGTTTTGGACAGCACACTTCCACAAAAACTTAGTCAAAGCCTACAAACACATGAAGCAGCATATTTAGGAGATTTCATGGTTTCTGAGCCAGCACAACTCTGATAAGATTCAGTGAACCTCAGATCGCTCTGTGATGGCTATGCATGTCAAACGAGTTTTGATTTCATTTAAAAACCAGTTCTGTGGATAATATTGCACCTCAAAGTGTTTTCTGKTTTTCCACCCTCTTATTCTATGAGCAAGAACCAGGAATGTACAAAAAAGCAGTCTTGTAGAATACAGAATTTAAACAAGGCAATCACAGTTTTTTGCTCCTGTCTCAGGCTGGCATACACTAGTGCTTCAAGATGTTATGCAGCTGCTGCTTCTCCCCAGAGATGGCTGCACTCCAGTAAATGGTGAAATACTCCCTCAAACATTTTTTTTTTCCACTGGAGGTTAACAAAGATGTTTCCATATGTCTAAGGCAACATGAAAACATGGTGACTGTCTAGTTGGATTTCTTGAAAGACATTAGCCTTAGATTTAGTGCGTCAGTAATTAGGAGCTGATGCTACACTGCRACACACAGCAGAAACAACTGCAGTTAGTGACTGTAGAATACAGTCAGAGTCTTAGATTACAGTGATGGTTATWTGATTCCATTCTTGCAGTTCCTAAGACCACAGAAGACACAAATATTTKTCATTTTGTCCTTTTGATAGCTGCACAGATTTTTAACTTCCAGCATATAATTAAAAGTAATCTAAGAACAAATTGAATTTGTAATAAGTACAGGCAACTGATTTAATTCCTTTCACTAAAAGCACAGCAGTGTCAATACTTACTGAGATTTAGTATGGCTGCTGATTTATTGAAAGTAAAATGTCAATACAACATGAAAATTTGTCATTTTAGAAAGGTTTAATAAAAAGGATGAACATAACAAAAAAAATTAAAATATAAGACCCAATAACTGATCATTCTAATTCACTTTTTTCCAGATGAGCATCCAGGTGTCAGCTGGTGTAAACGCAGATGCCACTGACGTCAATGGAGCTGTGTCAGTTTACTCTAGCTGAGAATCTGATCCCAAGTGTGCTGCTGCCATTTTTAGATGCTACCACTGGAATTCACTTTTGCAAGACAATTTAAAAAATACATCCACACTTTAAATTTCTTCCTGTCCCCAAGTGTATAACTGGAAGTCAGTTGACAGACTGTGGGAGAGGGCAATCGGGAGGTGGAAGTAGCCAACAACTGTGTCCGTGAGATAACTTTGCAGTATCAGTATGAACACTGTTCTGTTGTCTTCGTTTTATACAAACGAATATTTGGCTTCAAAAAGTTTTAACTCCACCTTCCACTAACAAACAATTCCATGTCAGCAAAAGAAAAATGATGCTGTAAACCATGTGRAGCATCTATCTTACAAAACTGTTAACATAGTATTTTAACCAGTATACAATCTGGATAGATGTTTTGATGCACCATTAGAAACAGTACCTCAAGCTCTAAGAGCCCCAAGGCTGAGTTCTGTGTTATCACCCAAGTATTTGTTCCTAAACAATCTCCCTGCTGTACCAGAAGCATGACTGGTAACAGTTCTCAGGCAGCTGTTTGAAGCAGACTATCTGGCTGACATCTTTGATATATCATGTAGCATTTGTTGGGGGGAGAGATGAGGAGGAGCAGAAATGGCAGAGCAATAAGCAGGGCAGAGGAGTACTTGACAGCTCCACCATTTCTAAGAGGGGAGCTTTTTCTTCTGTTTTATGTAAGGCAGTTGTTAACATGAGTGCATTGTATCACAGTTGCTAGTATTAACCAGGACAATAAAGTTGGAATGTTGGTATTTTGATTCAACATACCAAGGTCAAAATGGAAAAGGTAACTAATTAGAACTGAAGATGCAGTTCACATAGTATTGAAGTAATTGTCTATTTGTGCAGCACAACAACCATATCTTCAATTTAGGTCAGGCCATCAAGAGGAGGAAAAGGACTGAAGACTGAAGATGAGATGCTCTACTTCACACAGTTGCCCTCTGGAAGGACTTGCCAAGGCAGTCACTTAAATTAAGTACAGGTCATCAGACAAGATATCTAATCTATTCCTAAGACAGGCAGCTCTAGCAGTCCAAATCCCTATGGCCTTTGCAGCGACACGATGAACTACTTCCTCATGTACCTCTGTCAATTCACGTTAGGTCCCAGTTTTTTTAAAGCGATATCTCATGTACATCATGACYCTATTGCTCATAGCAAGGAAAGTGCTTTGGTTTATTTATGACCTACTAACCTTAAAAAAAAA